GATTCGATTATTCGATCGACAATTAGAACGATTGTTGAATCAAGGTTTTTCGCTTTCAAATGATTTCTGAATTCAATTACATGATGATATTCTTTATATACTCGAGAAACTAAATGGTGAACAAAAGAAAAATGATAGTTGGATACGTTTTCTCGAAAAAATGAAATTTGAAAGTGAATTAGAACAACGTCAATTACAATTTGATCAACTATTTGGAAAACAAAAGATGTTATGGCGGCTAATTGAGAAAAACTCAGAATTTCTTCAAGCATATCTTCAAAAATGTATTTCTCTTCATTTGAAAATGGAAGTGCGTGGTCTTATCGAAGATATCGATAACCTTTTTCGTAATATCTTTGGACAAAAACAAGTCTTACTCACCACAGACAGCAATAGTCGTCTGAAAGAAAAAATAAACTGTATTGAAATACCTTTCGATTGCTCGAATAGATTATTAAATAGCATCGATTCATCGTTCTTGTTAAAGAATAAATCGTCTTTAACAGACAATGACAATTCGAATAATTTTTTTTACCTTCGCTCGAACAGATAAAAATAGATCCACATCAGGATCTGACAACAATTGGAAATGCATTACAAGCTAGTCGATGGCTCGTCATTTTGGTGAACCAGATAGTGAAAAAACTACTCTTCTTCGTTGGATTACACGTATCTTTGCTGAAGCCGCTTATGATGAAGATAAACAAATCGTTTTAGGAGAAGAAAGAGTTCATTGTTCAATTCATATTTCAATTCTAATTCGAATCGGTGAATTTGCAGAGTGGCACGTTCAACATCAAACAAAGACATTGATAGATTATATCGGTGAACATACATGGTTTTCAGAATGTTATTGTCATGATGAAGATGAAAATGTACTGAAAGAGTTGATATATCATGGTCATGCTTTGATTCTTCTTGATAGACTCGATGAAATTCCTGAAGTTGGACAAAGAAAGGAGATTATTGAACTTGTTCGAAAATTTATTGATCAATATGTTCGTACACCTGATTTTATTTCACCTTTCGACGAAAGAATGTTCAGCACTCGAATATCATGGCATTATGGAGTCATGAAAATGCAGCCACCAAATGCTGGTGGCAATCAGATCATGATCACAAGTCGAATTGTTGGCTATTAGTTATATCCACTTGATAGTTCACTGATTGAGCACTATATATTGTCATTAATGAATCATGAAGAAGCAAAGAAATTCGTCAAAATATGGATGGCACAAGTAGAGAAAAGTATATTCGATATTCTTTTCAGTGAAGGATTTTCATTTGATGATAGAACAATAAAAACTTTTTCAATGACACGATATAATGCTGTAGAAGCAATGTTTGGAAGTGGTGCTGAATTAATATTATCAAGTCCTTTTTTGTTAACTTTGATTTGTACATTGATTTTTCAATCATTTGTTGAACTTCGTTCAAAATCTCGAATAGAAATCTATTACCATGTTATTCAAGCATCATTGTGTTCGTGGAAAAATCAACAATCAACCATTTCGAAAAGCATGTTAATTCATATTTTAAGTGATCTCGCTATGCATCTTCATTTACAATCACCATCTGGTCTCATAGATGGATTTGATCTAAAACAATTATGTTGTTTAACTTTACGAAGACAAGATGTATCAATTAATCGTACGATACTGCGTGAATATGCGGAAAAACTATTATTATTATTAAATTCTAATATCGGAATTGTTTCTGAACGAAGTTTACATGTGTTTGGCTTTTTACATTTATCATTTCAAGAATATTTTGTAGCATAATTGTTCGTCAGAGGTTCTTCTATTAAAGACATTGCTACTCGAATTCTTTCGTTTATGATTAATCCTCGTTTTCGTGAATCACTGTTGTTAGTTACTGGATGGATCAGTTGGAAATGGTCATTTGACGATTATGATCAGTTTTGCAAGTTACTTTTTACTCCTATCAAAGATTATGTATTTCCATTTGGCACAATTATCTTTTTCGATGCTTTCAATGGTCTGCATCGATTACCTTCGAATTCAGCTATTTTTATTGCATTGAATAGTTTATTAGATCATCCTTCTAATACAGTGGCACCAACATATTTAATGTTCACATTATCTAGACTGGATAAAAATATCATACTCGAATGGATACAAATACACTTATGTGAAAATAAAAACCGTCTTTTAAAATTTTGTCAACGTTTACCAGTAAATTTTATCGAACAGTATCGTCAAACTCATACATACGAACACTTAGTGATACCTGTAATTTTCCAGAAACTACGAATGTTGTACAACATCGAAGCAGCTGATGAATTTGTCATTGATCAGTTCTTACGACGATTGGTGAAAGTCGATATCTTAGCTGATGAGATTTTTCAGCAACAACTATCGTCGTACACATCATCAAACAATCTCAGTTTAACCAACATTCATCCATCGATATTTTCGGTTATTATCGCAGTATGTGGTGGAATATGTTTCAGATCTGAAAATAAAAATATGTTAAAAGTTGATTTCTCTCCCAAGCAGATGATGTGTCAATCATCTATCTTACCACCAATTATGAACTACTTTGCTAATACTAAAGTAGATCATTCAATAAAAGCTCAAACATTAATCAAACAATACGAAACGATCATCGAAAAATTCTTACCAGAAGATATTTCACTCAGCATTATTGATGCTTTTACTGCTCTGATTTGTTTGCAAGGTATTTCACAACCATTATTTTATCAAAAATACCTTCATTATCAAGCATTACTATTGGCAATTGATTGATTAAAACGAACATGGTTTTATTTAAAAATGTTATACAAGAATAAAACTAGTTCAAAAAGTGAAGTCGAAAGAATTATGAATGTATTCTTTTCCCAGCCGGATCAATCCATTGAACAACATCTTGCTTTTTCATTTGCATGCGCGGCTGCTTGGAGAAAACTTAACGTTGGTGCTACGTCAGAATGGCTAAGATTTAAAATTTTATCTACGAAAAATGTCAGTCAATATTTAAAGTATCAACCTGAATTTGTCGGTTCCACTGAACGATCGAATGCTACTCAAATACTACAAAATATTGCTTCATGGCAAACAATTCATCAGAAATTAGCCTTCTTGCTGATTTTTATACCAGTTTCTTCAGCAATTGTACGTTTGCATGGTCATTGCTTCAAGTGATACTCCTGACTCACTACCATTAGTTGTGCTCTTATCACAAAGTTTAATTTTCTTGGAAACTTTCGATGAACTTGATAAAAACCTCGGCCATGTCTTATCAACGTTAAAATCACTATTCAAAGAATACATGTTAGAAAATGATGCTTTAGTGCTCTTAGGAGAACAGTGGATTTCTAGAGTGTATCATAATATTTAATTCAAAGATATTTTCAATAATATAGATGATCTGATGTCTGAGAAATTACTTATCAATCGACCAATCGATTGGGAAGCGCTTATTAACACAGAACGTCAATGTATCGACAATGCGAAAAGCGCCGTTCGACATGTAGAGAACGATTTTAAACTTTTTGCTTCGTCGGTTTCACTCGCTAGAGTTTTTCAAGGTCAATATCGTTTTCATCATTCTCAACAAACAAGGTATAACAATATTTCTGCGGATGAAGGTGCAGAAATACGTTCTGCAATAGTGGACATTCATGATTCATTTTTACAAATCATTGCTCTAAGTATAATTTTGGAGACGAAAAATCCATCGATATTTGATCATGAACAAGAAGAACAATTGCAAGGTGAAATGATTTGTCAGTTGGAAAAGTTAGTATCCAATCTGTCATTATTAAAGTCTACTCATTTGTTTATTCGATGTTATCCATTACATTCGTCGTTTTCAGCATCTTTTAAACTTCTGGCAAATATCATAGGTGAAAAGTTGACTAAAACTCCGGTTAATCAACAAAGTGGCGAAGAGGAAGCGACTTTTATTGCATTACAACAACTAAACAATGCCGATCTTTTCTCTTATTTATTAGAGTTTGCTCAACGAACGATGAACATATCTGATCTTTTTCAATTCAATTCAGCCATATTCTCTCAATATTTTCTTAACACCACAGACTTTAATTCATCCAATACTATTCTTCTATCATCTATGTATCTAGTCGAATTGGCTTTCGATATTCAAATTCTGAAGATGTATGGTAATAATGAGCAAAAGAAGAAAAGTCCATCTTTGGATGAGTTTAAACGACTCTGGAGTGATTTCTGGAAAACTTTATCTATAATGACTTTTGAAGTCGCATCATGGATTACCGATAATTTGTTTATGTTAGATAGAAAAGAAGTTAGTTCGATTATTCTAGATATTTCCAATTTCTTAATTTAGAACTTGAACGAATAATTTCTAATGAACGTCGACCATCTACAATCACAACTTGGCCCTATTTATTAATTATTAAAGGTTATCCCGAAGATTTACAAATTTATCTTATTGAATATGTTCATTTATTTGTTGATGTTAAAACTGAAATTGCAAATTCTATCAAAGAAAAATTTCTTGCTGTAATTATCAAATGGATGACTAATTGTTGAATTTCGATTGGGAATAGGCAAACGTTATCAATGAAATTTTACGAATATATTTTTACATATCTAGATAATTCATAATTTCCTGAAGTTCAACAGGCGATTTTTGATGCTCTTAACTCATTATTTATTTTTCTCAAACCATCAGAAGAATATATTCTTTTGCAACAGATTGCATCATCTCATTTGGTCAATGTTATTAATTCATATACGACACATTCAGAAGATATTTTATCTATTTGTTTATTAGCTTTCGGTAATTATTTACTGAAATTAAATGATTCTAAAATAATGCAAGAAGTTTCAAATGAATTATAGAATATATTTACTCATCTTTTCGAAACATCATCTTCAGATATCATTTCGATTAGAGCTGCTTTTTGTTTCATATTCACACAATATTCAGATATAGCGTCCGATACAATACAAAACTGGTTTAAAAATAAATTACATATAAATCCTCAAAAGAAATATTCGATACTATTGCAACAAACTTTATATAATAACAAGAATTTATTAGATCATGAAGGTATAAGATTAGTTATTGAACATATACGCACGTATTCTACTGAGACTATGGATAGATTCATTCTTGAATTTTATAATTATTAATGCAACGAACATCATGACAATTATTTCTCGGTTTCCAAACCTAATTATATTCATATAGCAATGAAATTAATTGAAGAAGATTTTCATTTAGTTCAAAATGCTGTTAAGAAAAATTCTTTTGGTGAAGAAAATTTCCAAAATGCACTCTATCATTGTTTCTCTTATTCAGGTAATGAAATTGATTGTACAGTATTTGTGAATCTCTATGCTAAATTTGGTATAATCACTGTGAAACTTGCTCATATGTTAGAATCATCGAAAACTTCTTATAATGATCATAGGTGGAACTATTTTGATAATATTAAACAAATATCAGATCAAGATGTTATTAATCAATTATTCCAATTTTTAGATTCTATGTTAATTAATGTAGAATTTACTCGTTTTTCATTTATACGACGATTACTTGTTCAACTCGCATAAGTTCATGTTGTATCTCTATTTGAAGTACATCAACATATTTCAAATGTTATTGAAAACTTATCATCTGATCATAATTATATAGATCAACTTGATAAAAAGCATATCTTTCAATATTTACTTAGTCTTAGTTGTGCGAAAGAGACACACTCATCGTTATCGAAAGTAGAATTAATTACTGTAAAGGATATTGATAAAGACTTTGATAATGAACTTTATTATATTGATAAGAAATCAGTTCTATTTCTTACAAGAGATTATTTTCTGAATGAGTTCCGAACACTCTTCAGTAATTCTGTCTGAAATTGATACCTATTTAATTATAACTAATCAATTGTCCCATTGTTTGATAAAATTCAAAATGATATCAATTAATAAAGTTCTTTTTCAGTCGTCATTAAATGATTCTTTATACAGACCAAAAATGATCTGATTGCGTTCGACTATCGTGAGAGTGGGGAGCATGAGGGCGAGAGTGATGGTTAGGGTCAAGGTGAAGGTGACTCTCATATGTTCACCTTTCCACTCTCAAAATAGATATGAAGGATATCCATTTATTTGTGAGATTAAATAAGTTCATTTTATGGGTGAGTTGTACAAAAAAAAAATATATATATGCCTTAGGCGTTGCGATACTAATTCGTCTCTTCCGTTCAGATACCTTCGATGATTAGAGATTACTTTGACTAAAAACTGAAAAATTAAAAACTCTTTGTATCAGTGATCAAGAACGGATCACTATGACACAAATCGTTTTAAAAGATATGTTGACGAATTTGGGGTGTGGGTGTAGATGCAAGGAAGATTCACACGAACACCCACATCCACATACAAAGTAGGTTTCACTCATTTTAATCGTTTTGTTCATCATGTTAAAATTAATTGCCTTTTTAGAATAAATTACGAACCACCTGATTTTATTGTTGCTCGTACTAGTGGTGGTGGTAGATGATCTGATTTCCAAGAAAAAGGTCTTTGATGCTATCAATGTTTTAGTGCATCATATTAAACTAGTTTCATGTTTTTGATATAATTATCAATTAGTTAGTGAACGTGAATAAATGACCAGTACAGCCATTGGTAGACGAAGCAGTCAAGACAATGGTGCGCAACCTGATCGCGAACAACAATATAATTGATTTTTCTTTAATGAATTTCGTAAGTTGGGTGTGGGTGTTCTTCTTAGTGATACCAATACTTAGACCCACCCACACCCACACCCTCGATCTGATGACATCATTTGTTGATTTACAATGTTAATGTTTAGTGTCTTACTTTGTCGATAGATCGTTTGAGAATCGATCTCGTTCCGTTCGTCGAAATCGGATCGTAATCTTTTATTTGTTCCAAGTGTTTGAAAACCTGATTTACGAATTGGAGAAGATGATCACTCATCATCCATTTTATTATGTGAAACACAATTCACACGAGTTATATGTTTCGTTCACTACAGAAGAGAAAAATACATCCTACCACTATATCGGTGAGAGGACGAATGCGAATACCATTGGATCGAATAAGATCCAACAGGAGAAATTTGATCTGGGTAGGTTCGGCATTTCTGATAGGAAACTTTTTATAGTTCTTTATCATCGTGCAGAGCTTTTAAGTATTTTTCACTGTGATACAGAACTATAAATTAGTTCTGCATGTGCTGCAGAACCAAAAATAATTCTGCAAAACTCCTTAATTTTTTTTCGTAGCACGAGAGGCGAAACCTAGTTCGAATGGAACAGTCAGAATAAAATTATGACAATGATATATGAAAACAGAAGGTGTATTCAGCATCTATATATTTTACGTTTGTGATAGATGATTTTCACGCAAATAATGGCGCTACATCCTATAGTCGCAATTTCATAATAGTACATCCGATTTTGCTTGAAAAGCAATACAAATAAAAGATGTTGTTACATCAACTTCTTGATTTTAGTTCGTTTTTACGACTATATTTTATCAGAAGAGTTTAACATCATAAGTAATCTCTAATAAGGATATCCACTTCATATGCTACAAATATAAGCTTTTCAAAATGAGTCTCATCTTAAATACATCGCTGGTTTTTTCATTGGACATTGGTTTGATGACTCATGCAAATTCGGTCATAGACTATTGACTCACCAATGATCACCTCAACCACTAACTCATCTATTTGCTTTTGTCCATCTGAATTGTTTATTTCGTTCATCACCAATTCATCAGCATTATACTTCGTAAAGATGAACTTGTCGACAGTATGTCTAAATGGCTCAATTCATGCATAAATGAGTTACAAACAAGGTCACTCTTTTATTGTCCACTCTATTCTAAACTAATTTTTCTTTAACTAAAGATTAGAAATATTTAATCGAAAATTAAGTGATCCAATTCAAACTGGACAAACTTATGATATATCTCAAGAACGACGTCCAAGTTTTGCTTTTCTTATTATCAATTCTCTTTCTTTTCTTTTCAGTTTCATATGTACGATGAAAAAAATTGCATGTAGCAATTGAAACGGATACTGCAGTAAGATTATTTTATTCGTTTTTCTTCTTTCACTTGTCTTTTTCTTATCTAAAATCTTTTCGAAATTATCTTTTTTTCTACTAGTAAAACGATCGATTCTCGATATTAATATGAACGAATGGACGACAATGTCTCAGTTATACAGTGTGTCCTAGAAGTCCCTTCCTAAAAGTTTTTCGTTCCATTTCACTATTGACTGGATTTCATTGACTAATTTTTTTTTTTGGATAATAGATAAATGCACAGCGTTTTTATTTCTAAAGACAAATTTCAAAAGCATTGTTGAAAATTAAGAAATTTAGCCGAAATACTAAAATTTGGCTCTATATAAATATACGAGCATAATTTTATCTTCAATAACTATACTTTTTATTGACTGCTCCGTTTTTGTCATTTTTAGATACTGTTCATCTTGTGGGACATTTTGTAGCAGAACAGTATCTAAAAATAACAAAAACAGAGCAGACAATAAAGAGTATAGCCATTGAAGATAAAACTACGCCCGGATACTCAGATAGAGCCTAAAATTTAGTCTGTTTTCTTTTTCTAGAAAAGCATTAGATTGCACTTCTTTTTTAATAACTTCGAATTGTTGAGTAATTCAAATCTTTAAATTGTCCAATACTGGAACTGTCTTTTTACAGAACTTTTTTCGGTATGTCTTTACAAAAACAAAATGAGTAGTACCATTTCACAATTCAGGCAATTAGAACACATATCATCCATGAGTATTTCTGGAAAGAGAAAACAGGCTAAATGTCTTAACTTTCAACAATGCTTCTGAAACTTGTCTTTAGAAATAAAAAATTTGTGCATTTATCTATTATCCAAAAAAAAAATTAGTCACTGAAGTCCAGTCAATAGTGAAATGAAACGAAAAAACTTTTAGGACACACTGTATGGTTACTCTAGTCGGACATCTTGTAAACAAGATCTTGGCCAAGATACAAGGTACAGAAGTGTTAATGTATCTTAAAAATTTAGGCACAAGATAATTATATTGTCTTGTACCAAGATCTGTAATAAGATGTTGGGTACAAGTATGCAATATCTTTAGTTTGATATCTGGTCTTTTATGATCACTTTTATTGATTTTTGCCTCAAGCAATTACATCCGTCATACTAGTAATCAAGGCTTTCTAGATCTTCAGTTAAAACTCTGCTGTTTAATCTATATTTAATAGTGAGAAATATGTATCTGAACATTTAGTGCAAGAAATTTTATGGTTCACATGAGCAATTTTTATAGGTTCAAAGTATGTCTATTTATTCCAATTTAAATAAAGAAAGACTACAGCGAAAAAATTTGTTTTTCTCTGCTCTTACTAATATTTGCGTCTAATGCTTGTAAACCGATCAATTTCTGTGTTTTTAATACTTGTTCTTGAACATCATGCTTATCATCTTTGAGAGAACGTACAATATTTTTTACCAATTCTAAATTGCCATTTTTTTTATTGTAATTTTTATTTAATGACATCATATGATCATGATGACATTAAATCGATGTTTATGTACGTAAAAAAAATTTTATCTGATAATTTAAACAATGATTTGTGAAAGTCTAGAAATAAAAATAACTTTAGCATTTTTGTTTTATTTAATGTTCTAGAAAATTCACTATAGAAAGAAAGAAGTCAGAGAATCTATCTAAATTTGAGATTTGATTAACACTAAAATCTAAATTTTAAATTATCTTGTATATTAACCTAACATCAACCATCTGGTTATTAAGCACCAATCTGCCATGAATACAAACCAGATTAGTCTAAAAACCTCTGTTCAAACTTTACAAATTTTCTATGAATGATTTCTTCTTCTGTTTTGATTTTTCATAACTTTAATTTTATTGGTTGACAAGTGCTCCCACTATTGCTAATTTCTCGCACATCTATGAGATTCACAAGTATATATGATTGGCTTTTAGAAAACAGTTTCAAGCAATTAAAGAATTTTTAAATATGTAAATAAATTAATGATGTCGCTTTTTGTTTTAGTCAAGATCTGGGGAAAAAATCATAAAAACTAGTATCTTTTTTATGATCTTGACATGTGAAAATTCTTGAACAGATCTTACCAAAATCTTAGATACAGATATATCTGATACGATCAAGATATACATAAACGAATTATCTTTTAAAGATCTTGATAAGATCTTGCTTATAAGATATTTTAGTGGAGCGGAGTTTTGAAAAAAAGGACTAAAATTATTTTTTTTCTTAAATTTTATATTGTACGTTATGAATGCATTTTATTTATTAACAAAGCCAATTCAGATAAATCAGTTATTTCTTTTAAATTATTTTAGTTTATATTCTCAAATTATTGACAAATGTAAAGAACAATATACTATATGATTAACAAAGCAAATACATCATAATATAATTATCATTGAAATATGTAAAAATCGAATTCTCTTATTTAACATACATTAATTTGGTTGTTTTTCTTTAATGATAAAACAAGTGAATCATGTGCTAATTTAACAATGGGTA